GCCATGATCCTTTGGGTCTTAACAGAGTCATTCTCTCAGACTGGCAAAATTCGTGGAGGTACCTCTCTCAAGCTCATTAACAAACCCCAGTTACCAATCTGAAGAAATACTTCAATGTACGTTTCAATCTATGACACAAAAAAGTTGAGGCATGACTAAAATTTTTAGATCATTAAAAGCAAACCTAGAAAGACCGTTTTCATGCCGTCTTAACTCCTTCCTTTTAATTGCTCCAATATAAGATAAAATTGCAGGAAATCAAAATGAACTACAGACTTCTGAAAACAGGGAGCTTTTAGTTACAGAGAGCAAGCCATTTTCTCACAGCAGCAATCATATGCAAGAACAAAAGGCTGTTGGGATAGATACCATTAGTCCAGCAATGGAAAGGTTTCTTAAAAAGTTGAAGAAATTATTGCACAATATCACTGAATATTGGGAATAAAGCTCTTAAACATTTTAGCAATGTTGTCCTCAATTCAGTTTTTAATGAGCAAAAAAGCATTCTTAATCACCAGACTAGTACTATACCAGTTTCTCCTTTCCCCCCCCCAACCCCAACAGTCCCTGCTACCTTTAATCGAGTCCCTTTGGCACCAGTAGAATCTGCTCTCTCGCTCCCAGCCAGATCTACAAGACTGATCTTGCTGACCTGCAGAAGGAAATACAGCAATAGTGAAAGCCAACTCCTGTTGAATAGGAACAAAATAAAAATAAATCTGATGCCACAATTTGCAGACTCTGCAGCCTTCCAAAGTATCCACTGGTGATCAGCCTAAAGGTAGCAGAGCTGTTATACTGGGATAAATACCATCCTGAATCACATCCTGATTTAAGTGCAACTCTCTCACATAACCTACCTAAAAATAAAGAAGTGTGGCCTCATGGGTTTTCAGAGACTTGCAGAGCAAATTGTGCCTCAAAAGAATTTAACTACTGCTGCTATAAACAAAATATGGGACATTATACTGACATGAATAAAGAATTGAATACGCTGTAAAAATATCAGAATACAAGTTATCCTCCCATAGATCTACTGAACTATCCAATCAGGAAGAAATGTCTGGTTGTGTCAATACAGGCAAACCACGATCCATCCAAAGAGACAGAGTACGGAGACGTATGAAAGGGATGCCATACTTATATTGCCACTTTTGTATACAGTCTCTCTGTATTCCTCCATCAGTCAAAGCAATAGCAAGACCAGTAAAATTACTCTACTCACACAGAATGTACTGCTTTTTAACATGCAAATTTAATAGGCAAACATTTTGTCTGGCCTATTGTCCGGCCATGGCTCCATCCCACCCCCCACCCCCAACCCCACTCCCGCCCTCACTGCAGGGGCTTTGATCTGCCCCTGCCACGCAACTGCATTCATCTGCCCTCCAGTCTCTGGCAAGCTGGGAGGCATGCAGGAGATCCCCCAACCTGCTGGCCTCAGCCAGTGTAATCATCCTACGTGTCCCTCCATCAGTGGGTGCACTTGTGTTCTGTTCTCTCCTAAACTAACCTAGTCCACTTAGAGAAACCCACATAAGATAGTTTGAGTCTGCCTAGGGCTCTTTGAATGTCTGTACTTAGCCTTAGCTGGGGTGATTTAGTCAGGGATTATTCTACCTTCAACAGGAGGCTGGACTAGATGACCTTTTGAGGTCCCCTCTGGTCCTATTTTACTATGTTCCTATGTGCAGGACTGCTGTTTCATGGATGAAGGGTGGATTATTATAGTTAAC